CTATACAAGACTTTCATTTCAAAACGAACCATTGCAATTTTGATAAAATGAATCGATGAAGTTTTAAAAACACCTTCATTTAGATAGTTATGGGGATATTTAATGAAAGATTTCCCTCAGTTTTGGCATTTACCCCCGCACCCATAGCGTACCTATTCATTTTTTTTGTTATATTGCCATTCTAAACACTTTTATAACGGTTTGTATTTCATAAATCCTATTATTTGTGCAATGCCTACATTTAATTTAGGTGTAGGTACCTACTTCCAGCTGTAGATCCGTTTTTACAAGCAGAGCGTGCTTGATTGACAGCGCTCTCGCTTTACCGCACGAGGAGTAATGCGTTAAACGAAGATGGAACTACAAATTTCAAAGGCGTCTGCTATACTTATACGACCGTCTGCCGCGTTTTTCATGATTTTCCCAAATTCTACATTCAAAGAGCTTTATTTTAAGCTATAATTCGAGCGTGTACCTGACGAGGTATTTAACTATTTTTGAATGTTTTTAAACGCGCCTGCTCGGGAAAGTTGCCCAGATAAATCGTCTGCCGCTGCAACTATGAATTTGGTGCACATTTCCGTATCAGATTGCAAAAAATCATACGTGTACCAGTGACGAGTATGTGATTTTGAACAGTTTTCAAAATTCGCCCCCGCGCTAAGTTGACCGCCGCGGGCCGGCAGACGGGCGATTTTGGAATCGTACGGTGACATTCTACTGCCTAGTTACATCAAACCTTTTGTACCCTATGACGAGGTATTTTCTACGCGGGCTCTCGGTCTAATCGCGACGGCAGAACCTAAGCTTGCTATTTTGGAGGTCTCTAAATTAAATTCAGAATTGTCAGGAGCTTTACAATGATTTGTTATAAATGCTATAAAGTTAACTAAAAATAAAGTTTTGTATTATACTCGACGATAAAGGGAAACTAACCATCTCGTGAACATCTTTCACTCAATGGTTAAAATGGCCCTTTATCGTCTTGTATAATAAATAACTATTATTTATACCTGCACCATAATCTGCATTTTTCGAACCAAAAAGCGTGTATATAAATCACTGTGTATAGCACGGCGTGCGTATGTAGGTATATAAATATACTTATAAAGATTGCTCCCTTTCTTGAGAGTGAAATATGAAACGTGAGAGTAGAAAACGTGTTGGCACCGCCCAGACGAATAGACGATACGTTACGCACCACGTGCATGCAAGACACTATACAGGGTGGTGACTTGCGTCACGCATCATAGGGATTTCAATGTAAAATTCATAACATACGATTATTGGCTCCCCAAATTATTTTAGAGCAAAAATGTATGAAGGTTTTTTGTAGAAAAAAATTTTTTACGTCAATAAACCGTATTAGTTTTCAATTTTTTACATAGTAAAGACGGAAAATTGAGAAAATAAAACCCGCATCTTTTTGAATAATCTGCGATGCCATGGAATTTTGTAAAACAAAAAGATGTCAAGTTGTCAATTAGCAGCTGGATTTTATGATCGACTTGGTTACTGTCTTGCATAGTTAATGGTGACTTATTCGAACATTTACTGTCAATTTTATTGTTGTATTAGCAAACCGTTTTTAGTAATTTGGTCTTTCTTTATGTTGAATTCGCTGTTCTAAATATACTTTTTGATAGAATTTGATTTGTTTTATAGCAGACATTCCATGGCATGACGGATATTGTAGTTTTTGTATTATAAAATTCCATGGCATCACAGATTATTGAAAAAGATGCAGGTTTTATTTTTCCAATTTTCTGTCTTCATTATGTAAAAAATTGGAAACTAACGCGGTTGATTGACGTAAAAAATTTTTGTCTATAAAAAACCTTAATACATTTTTGCTCTAAAATAATTTGGGGAACCAATAATCGCATGTTATGAATTTTACATTGAAATCCCTAGGATGCGCGACGCAAGTCACCACCCTGTATATTTTAATAAACAAATTGTTTAATCAGTTTCTTTTTGATTTTGCTGGTATAATTAGAAAAATAGTGGTACAAGATCTCACATGAGGTCCACCTTCGCCCATCTGTTCATTGAGTGAAATACATTTTTTAGTATATTAATATGTAAACAAACACACTTTTTGAAACGGGTTGCTTAAAAAAATTAAGTAGAGTACCCTTAATTAAAGTTAATGTAATTAATATTTCTGTCACTTTCTATCACATGGAGAGAGCGCATGCGCACTCTGGCTCCGGTACGCGTATTTCCTAATGTATTGTACAACTAGTGATGTTAAATTACACGTTTTTTTTAAAGTGCGTAATATTACGTGTAAAATTACCAATTGTTTATGTTTTTTATGTAATTTATGTAACTTACCAATTTTTAAAAAAAAACGTAATTTTACAGTAAAATTACCAGTAATTTATGTTTTTTATGTAATTTACAAATATTTTTGTATAATTACATGTCATTTATGTTTTTTATGTTTTTTTTTAATGTTCTATAAACCTTTTTGGATTTGTGAGTGTTTGAAAATAAAAATACTTGTTAAATTATATATTTTGGTGTATTAAATAAAATACCCAAGCAGTAGGTATTTCGCCATCACGCGTCGTTTGGAGGAAGAAGTTCCAGATCGCGAATTAGAGGCTGTATCATCTTTATTAAACCTAACTAAATTCGACGGTGAATCGTTTACGTTGGTAGTACCGTTGATGGTCTGTGGTAGTACTATTTACTCTGACATGCAGATTATTCTGTAGTAGGCACAATTACCTGGTGTGACGCCATTCTATTGGGGCGCTATCAACTCATTTTTATTACTATAGTTATAACAGTCAATCTGCAGTATCTAAGTATCGGATATTGCTAGGCTAGCACCCCTAGAAAGTACTTAACAGACATGAGCTCTTACCATTAACATAGTGTAAGAATACTACACTATACACTATTAATAGGACGACCGAGGACGACCCTCCTCAAGATAGTTTTCAATTTTTACTTCAGTCATAAAAAATATCTCAATATTAATCGATTTTTTAACAAATCCTATACATATATTGTCGTGTCTGGACATTTTTTTGAAAAAAAAATATTTGATTTACGGAAATAAAAATAAAACTGGTTTATATCAAGTTACTACGAAAGCGCCTAAGGGTCACACAATTATAATAACATTATTTTTTCCAATATATTGGAAAAAAATTGATTGGGAAAAAAATTGAATATATTGGAAAAAATTGAATATATTGCGAAACTTAAAAATATTACGAAATAATTTAATATATTGGAAAAAAACATATTATTGTCACAAACTCAACACTTATGTCGGATATTGCAGAGTGAGTTATGAGTTTAATGTGCAGTGGCGTTTGTGGAAAATCGAAATGAATAACGTAGATTTATTTGATGCACCCAGCAACGCTACCAATGATTTAGTAAGAATGTAAGATGTTATTTTTTAAGTGGCATTGCATTACGATGAAATAATGGCTTTTATCTATTTGAGACATAATGTAGAGATGAGTTTATCAACACTTAAACGTAAATTGAAGAAGTTAAAATTGTATAGAAACAAACATTATTCGGATTTATCCACAATCATCGATTTTATCCAAAGCCAGTTAAAGGAATCTGGTCAACTATGTGGATATCGTTGGAGTCATCATAGATGTATACAGAATGGATTTGTTGTGACACAGGTCACACAGGGTACAATTAGGGTAATTTTACAAGAATTGGGTCCACAAGGCGTAAAATACAGAAAACGTAAAAGACTACGCCGAGGAAAATATTCGATAAATGGCCCTAATTATGTATGGCATATGGACGCATATGACAAACTAAAACCTTATGCAATAGCTATTAGCGGGTGCATTGATGGTTTTTCGAGACGAATAAGGCAGGACTGCAAGTAATCCAAATCTTATTGGAGGTTACTACATCGATGCCGTTAAATAAATTGGTGAATGCCCTAGCTAGACGAGTACGAGTTTTATTTATGGAACAAGCCAAAACAACCAACGTATCGAAGCAAGAGCTGAAAGAAAATGATTGCTTTTCCGGCTAAGCACTGGACAAAGCCTTAATACAGTTTTGCTTGCTAAGAATTGTACAGGTAAATGTTTCTATAACAGGTGATCAAAAATGAGTTGCTGTCGAGTTGCATTTGGAAGCTCAAGTTATGTACGATTTCCCATGTAAAAAAAATTCCAAAGGTGACTCGACAGCAACTCATTTTTAATCGCATAGTATACAGGGTGTTACATGACCGCATGTAAAAAAAATGGGTGATTAAGGGGAGCAAGACAAGCACTTTTTCCAAATAAACCGAGGGTCCAACGTGTTTCGTTTGGGGGCCACCCCCAAAGAAGTGGTGAAATTTGGATTTGGATTTCTTCTTTTTTTCTCAGCAACCATAAGAGTTACAAAGATGGGTGGCACGTCTTTGAATAGGTTTTCGGATATGCCCTATCCGATTTTGAAATTTTTTTTCAAAATTCCTACCACTAAAGGACGAAATATTGTAGTGAATATTCTAGAAACAGATAAACATAAAGGCGCTATAAAAGATTAGTCACCGACAATAAGAAACGAAAGCGAATGACGCATTCTTTCCGGGAAATACGTGTGCTTTGTGTTTTGTTGGAGAATATTCCATTAAGCGCTTAAAATTTTTCGGGATCCCACAAATACCGGGATCCCGCGGGATTAACATATCCACGATCCCGCAACTTCCGGGATCGCAATTTTGCTGCGGGATTGCATTCCCTAATCTTACTAAACCATCGGTAGCGTTGCTGAGTGCATCAAATAAATCTACGTTATTCATTTCGATTTTCCACAAACGCCTCTGCAGTCTCCAATATCCGACATAAGTGTTGAGTTTGTGACAATAATATGTTTTTTCCAATTTATTAAATTTTTTCGCAATATTTTTAAGTTTTTCGCAATATATTCAATTTTTTTCCCAATACATTCAATTTTTTTTCCAATATATTGGAAAACATAATTTTATTATAATTTTGTGACCCTTAGACGCTTTCGTACGTTACATATTTACTCTGTATATTATCACTAAAATCCTAAAAATATAAAATGTCTTGAGTTCACTATATATTTTGGATGAAATGCCTACACGGGTTTTACATTATGTATTATAAACGGTAATACTTTATTTAAGATGATTGGAGCCGACAACGAAACGGAGTTTGGACACACATTCGCATCCACTACAAAATACTGTGCATTTCAGAGCAACGTCATTATTATGTGATTTGTAGCGAACGATGGATTGCCATACTACCTATTGCGTATAGCGTAGTGTACATACCATTGCCAAAGCATAGAGCACTGCAGAAAATGGACCGCTCTGTGTGGTACAATACATTGGCAATACGCCTCCGTCTTGAAGCGTTGCCACTCAAATCACATCCGTGGTTTGGTGAGAGCTAGACATGCATTGTGATGGTGCAGCCTACACCTTTGGTCAGTTTCCTCTTCGGCGATTTTGAAGGCTGTTGGTTTCAGTTTTTTCCTGGCTCTGCAATAACGTTCCGAATTAATGGTTGTCATGCATAAACACTCAACAAATGGCATCAAAAACAAATAAGAAATACAATAATACATTAACAATAACCATTTAGAACATTGTAAACTTGTTTAACTGAAGTAATACCAAAGAGCCACATCAATGATGATCTTCATTCACCCTTTTCAACGATTAAGTTATATTTTCACGTTCGTTCTTCATTGCGATGCACTCGTGCGAATGAAATCACTCTTTCGTACTTATAGCAACTTCATCGGAACGATTTATGAGAATTAACTACTTGCAATAATTTTAAGCAAACTGGGGTGATATTACTTGCATCAGTTACATGTCGTTCCGTCAAATTTCTTATTGATTAGATTAATTGTTTAAGCGTTAGAACGTATTTATAATAATTTAATCATTTGTGCATTGATGTTTGAAGTTCAGCCAAACCTAATTTGTCGCTTACGTCGCCGGATAATGGATGTATTTAATTTCAACCTTACGTGTCATACGCCTGTGACTTGGTCTTCCCTATCACTCCCGTAAGTGAAAAAATGAGATATGGTTATTTGAAGTTTCTAGTTTTGTGGAGAGTACTGCAAACCTAGTACAATGTTGTAAAATTTTCGAAGGATCCTTTGTTAACACGTGGAAACAGTGATCCTTTTTTAAATCTTAAAATTTTCAAAAACTGAAAGTTGAACGCACTATAGGCAAACAGAATTAATGTATTTTTTCGCGAAGGATCCACGAGGTTTGCGATATGTATTCGAAGTTGTAGAGCGTTGGGCTACATAGCCGGAGGTCGGGTGTTCGAACCTGGTTTGAGGTAAGAATTTTTCATCTGTGACAGAAATGGGAATTTCCTTAGATCAGTTTCGAGCATTCTGCCGGTTACTCCGAATTAGATTTTCCTGCAGTTTTTCTAATTTGTAAGGTAAATACGGGAGTAGTATAGAACAACTGGGCAAAAAGCCTGTTGAGGGGGACAATAAAAGAAAATTTAAAAAAATGGTGCTTGCCTTGCTGATAGAAAGAGATTGGAGTAGTACATTTAACCTTATTTTCAAGGGCCCCGCGAAAAAATATACTGCCATTTCCGAGGCCATTTCCCTATGGTACGTTCTACTTGGGACTTACTGTATATGATGCCTGATGGATGAAAAATGTTTAAAAGGCTCCATTATTCTTTTATTATTTATTAATGTTTTATACCACATTCATGGAGCACCATGTACAATTGTAGATAAACATATGTTTGCGTTATGCACATTAAACCAGCAAATGATTTTGTATTTTAATTTTTTTGTAGCATCGTTCAGTCAAGAGATATCGTCTTATATCGGCTATATCCGAACCAATAGGACACCTTGTATAATATTTTGCCTCATATATTCTGCTATAAAATTATATTTTGTATTATACACATATAGACTACGATGAAGGAAAATAAAAATAATCAAACCTGTATTTTTCAATAAAATTGTGCATTTTATTAGTTTTTACAAACATGCGTTAAACATTAAAAATAAAACAAGTAAAGAGAATTGTGTTTGGGTTCAGCGAGAGCTCACCCTCTTTTGTCACGCAGTTTTTAAGATATTTTCAGTTGACCTTGTCCACGAATCCATTCCGACGAGAGGTAGCATTTTCACCCTTTTTAACGCATTTAAAAACATGTGAAAAAACTCCGCGCTTTGTCCATTTTCTGTCTGCCTGTCCGTATGTCTTTACGGTAGCGTGCGTTTTTCAACTGCTCTGCTATATGTCAAAAATGTATCAAACGAAACCTTATATTGCCAGGAGATGAACCTTCTATATCTACTATAGCAGTAGCACTTAATTATCTCTAAACAATTGCTCGCTCCTATCATACATGACTAAAGATTTCAAAATCTCAAACGCGCAACGCATTCTTTCGATGCCCAACAAGTGATCCGATGTATTTCTGATGATCCACATGTATTTTGGTCAGGATTTGTCAGAATCGTTATTTATTCACCGATTTCTTTGGAAAAATGACTAATGCCCGGTTTCATAAACGATGATTAAGGTTAATCAATGATTAAAAATATTAGAATGTTAGCCACCTTTGATTATACGCTCATTTGTTTCCCGTTCTAATATTTTTAATCAGTGATTAACCTTAATAATCGTTTGTGAATTGATTAATTCGATCCCAAGCAGTGAACTTGAAGTACTCTTGGTCTCACGTGTATTTTGACCAAGAGGTGTCTAACTCGTTATTTGTCACTGATTTTATTGAAAAAACTTTTTTTACCTTGATGTCAAAACCTGAAGTTTATGAAATAAAATTTACTTTGTTTCCGAGATAGTTTCTCACAAGCGATACAGTTGGGATTCTCGTTCTATTTAGAAAAAATGATTGTATTGATCCCTTTACAACCTCTATATTTTATGAGGTTATTGTCTTGGTATTGTGGTGTCTAATATCATAGACCAAATTTGGTCTATGCTAATATGAATAAACAACTAATATGCGAGTCCCTCTTTTTAATTGCAAAATAGTGGTTGGGAGCATAGGATAGGTCCTGGTTACAGAAAAACTGAGGAATACAATGTAAAAAAACCACAATTTGATGGGTTGACAAAATTCACAGTATTGTAATTGCTGTAATGGCAATTTTCTTATTTCGTTAAAGATTAGGTATAGTAAATTGCGAGGTTAAATTGTATGTTCTCCATGAGTCTTCACGGCAGAAAAACCTTATTTAAATTTGAGTGGTTCTCTGTTTCCTCTAGCAATAGAAACCGCGAGGAAATTAAAAAATTCTGCAGATTTTCGTTTTCAATCTAAAAACAATTATGTAGGTTTCGACGCCCAACATCATCCTACGTGCGAATCCGCCATATATTATTCATTGAAAATGTGTAAATATCTAATTACCATTTATATGGAATTTCAGTGTCATGCTAGCCGAGATACTATCACATTATTCCGTTAATTCGACATTTCATTGTTTCCGATTTTTCCAATCATATTCGCGCACGTGTATGTGTATTGCTTCATTGATAGCTAACGTAACTACCTTGCAATATTCCTCATTAATTATTGTGCATCGTCTAAACTAAACTACACCATAACAAACTCAAGGACGTCGTTCCGTAAATAGTTTTAAGAAGTTAATTTGAAATTCCGAATGTGTTAATAAAAAGAAAATAGCTATTTGTACTAACCATAAAGACATTCCTTCTGACTGCAGTCAGTTACACAAATGAAGTTCTTTGTGATGCAAAAATAAGATAATTAAAATCAAGTGCCATTAATTTAATTCGCAATAACCTTTTTTAATGCACGAATTCGATTCACAGCCGTCAACTGTAATTGCAAATTTTAATACTTTTTATTGAAATAAATGTGTGTTATCCAGTCTAATTGCACACGTCTTCACTCTGATCCATTCACAATCGATATACGAGTACCTTATACCGTATGTACACTATAAAATAAAATCTGTTATTATGTATTAGATTTTTCAAGATTTTACCATTTTTACTACCGGTACGTTGGTAAGGGAGATATTCCATTGGGGTAAAACAAGACCCCTCATTTTTTTCACGGAAATACACGTTTTGAAGCATCAGGAATCCCAATCCAATAAAATCTCTATGATGTCAATCTGTCTGCATTTTCATTTCCGGCTAAACGGCTGAACCGATTGGAACCAACTTTGATACAAATATTCTTAGACATAAAAGAAGAAAGAAAAGAAAAAGCTGAAAAGCTGTTGAGCACAATCACGCATGCGCAGATGTGCGGGTGGTACCTGCACTGGCCACAACAAATTTTTCATTTTCCATTAGGGGGAAACAATTTTTATCTCCCTCCATTGTTTAGGGATGTATTTAAAAGCGATACAGCTCGTATGCTCACCAGGAAGATGACAATAACATGTAGTATGGTGCTGTGGTGACTTGGGGAAAGTGGGCGTCTCTCAGTAAATTTGCCGATTTGGTTTTTATTTTTTGTGCTGTTATTTGAACAAATACAAAAAAATAAAAAAACACGTTCTTACTGTCACTTGACACCATTGAGAGATTTTCAATACGGAATCTTGTAGAATTCAAAAATTGGCACTGAGAAAGTGTTTTTAATTTTCTGTATCTGCTCAAAACATAAGAAAATAATAAAAACGGAATCGGCAAATTTCAGATTTTTTTTGCATATCTTTCGGAAGTAAACGGAATTGTCCAGTTTTTATTTGCAACTGTTCTCTAATTTGACAATCATCGTATCTTCTATGATTACGGAGATCCCCATTTACTTGGACACTGTGTATAGCAGTGTAGCTACGAATTATAACATTTACCCTCGCATTTACCCATAGAGTTATTTTACAGGAAAGTTGTAAATATATTGTTTGTAGATTGTAAAATTCTGCGTCTATTAATGCGCCCATTTGTAATTTTTTGTTGTGGAAAATCGGAGATTTTAGTAAAAATCACACTTGCCGTGAAATTATGGAAACAAAAATTTTTTACGCAAATATTAAATTTTAATTTATTTTTTTTCCGGTTTCCCGAATTGGAAAATAATAAATGAAGATATAAGCAGACGCAGAATTTTTCAAACTACATATAACAAACCTATGTATTTACAACTTTGCTCTAAATTAATTAGGGGAGGAATTATTTCGTTAGCAATGAAATCCCTGTGGTGCGTAAACCGTTTCTACACCCGGTATTCGCCAACTGGGTATACAATCCACCAACTCTTGTTAAATTTGCCAAGTTAGGCATTGATTGGAGGGGCAATCTGTCCCCTCTTGCCCCCCCCCCCTGGTCCGTCCTTGCGATCATGGTCCACGAAATCGATTCAGGCATATCTCGACGGACGCATGGAAGTTTCTAAAATTTTCCATTCGGTTTTGAAGGTAAATTCATTTATATTTATTCCTAATTTTAATATCATAAAAGTAGTATATATTTCCTTTTTAAAACCTTGAACGCATTTTTACCTGATCAATATAATTTTGTTATGTACACAAATAATAATTTATAATAGTTATTTATGCATGAAGGGCATTAAAGTCGCCCGAGGATTAAGTATCGAGCAATGCTTGAGGTGGATACAAAACTTTATTTTTCATAATTGCAAATAATGTATTTCCAATATACATTATACAAATGTAATGATTATGGTTTGCACTGCACAACCTTAAACTGCTTCATACGAATCAAGTAACATCTTTTTTAAATACATAATGATAATGGGAACTCCATCAATATAGTCCAGGCTATAAAGGGTTTTCCAATAAGAGGTGTTATTTTGATATTCAAAGGAAAATGCCATTTTTTAAGATAAATTATCGGATATTTATTACATTATAAAGAGGAAGGTATGCCGTTAAAAATGGAAAATAACATCAGCTAAATGAAATTTTTACAAAAAAAATTAGTTACCGGGCGAAACCGGGTTTTTCAGGCAGGTGAAATGAATAGAAATTGGGAAAAAAATAATTAAAACAGCTGAATTTTTCCGCAGGTGAAATCCCGGGGGTTGAAAGGGGTGGAAAGTGGTGTTTTCCAAATTGTGGCAAACCTATTAATTTTAGACGAAAATGTTAAATGTTATAGAGATTAACAAAATGAACAACTTTTGTATCTGCACTATTTTCACATAACCTCCAATTTTCCTAGAAAAACCGGAAAAACTGCTTTTTTCGTTTTTTATTCTTATTTTTGCGAAAAAATGTCGTAGGAGTTTGAGTTTGGAGGAATCATAGCTTGTTTTATGTAAAAAAAGAAGATAATTTTTTGGGCCTGTAAAGTTGAACCGTTTCCAAGTTCTCACGATTTCTGAAAAAAACACCTCTTTTTCAAGGGGATGAAATAGTAGATTGTATGACAAGTAGGAAAAGTTGCATATTCCTGGACGATGATAGTGATTGTAAGCCGAGGCGTTAGCCGAGGCTTACAACTATCAGAGTCCAGGAATATACTTTTCCTACGTGTTGTACATACTATTTTTTAGTCGATAGCCAATAGTTAAAACACCAAATATACCATTTCAAACTAAATTTAATTTTCACCAATTGTCATTTGGTCTAATGTCATTAGTCAAGGCTTGTATGCGATAGGTGCGAGGATCGAACCCGGGCGGCGCCTTTTTTTTATTTACAGTAATTAATAAATGCAAACATCAAGTTCGTTTTCCGAGCATGCATTGTTTGAACGTTACCATGGACATGACGTAAACAAATCGAAAATTTTTTCGTTTGAGTGAATTTATAATTAGTTGATGTGCAATATTAATATAAAATGGATATCGATGGTAATTTTGATGAAGATTTATTTTGTAGAACACCACCTGAAGTTTTGGAGGCAGTCAATGAAGCTACTCTTAATCTGTTGCCAACTAAATCGAGGGGAAGTATGAAAATGCTTATCAACGTTTTATGGAATATAGATCAAGTAAAGGAACTTATTCGTTTTCGGAAAATGTGGTACTCGGATATTTTCTTGATTTGTCGAAAAAGATGAAACCCTCAACACTTTGGGCAAATTACTCCATGTTGAAGGCCACTCTTATGTTAAAGCAAAATGTAGACATCACTTCATATAACAAACTGCGAGCATATTTGAAAAAGCAATCCGTGGGTTACAAAGCAAAGAAGTCGAAAGTCTTCACCAACGAACAAATCCGAGAATTTATGATGAACGCTCCAGATGATACTTACCTCATGGCTAAAGTAAGATTTTAATTGAAAGGCCTGAAGATTATAATTTAATTTTTTTAGGTTGTGGTAATTTTCGGAATTTATGGCGCCTGTCGGCGAGAGGAGTTATGTAACATAAAGCTTACGGACATTGAGGATTTGGGTTCACAACTACTGGTGAAGATTCCATGCAACAAAACCAATAAACCACGGTCGTTTATAGTAAACGACACTTATTTAGAAACATACCGTAAATATGCAGCCGTTCGACCATCCAATTTTCACTGCAATAGGTTTTTCTTCAAATACCATAATGGTAAAGGATTTAAGCAAGTAGTGGGGGTGCATACATTTGCCAGCATTCCACAAATCGTTGCTAACTTTTTGAAACTGTCCGATGCAAACCTTTACACGGGACATTGTTTTCGAAGGACATCTGCGACAATTTTGGTAGATAATGGTGCAGATTTGACTGTTTTAAAACGTCACGGCGGTTGGAAATCGTCGAATGTGGCGGAAGGATATATAGAAGAATCCTTAAAAAATAAAATGGATGTGGCAGAGAGAATAGTTACTTCAATTTCTGGCGCACATATTCAGTGTAAGGGTGCAAGCAATGTTGGCGTCTCTACTAGCACCATCTCCAAAACAAATACGGAGTCCACTTCTTCAATTAATTATGAAGTAGAGTCGACATTGACTGGACTACCAAATTTGATTGGAACCTGCAATAATTGTACTATTAATGTACATATTAATAGGCAATAAACTATTCATTTGCGTGTATAACTGTTCTTTTATTTTTTCATGCTCACAAGAATATAGATATTTTCCCGTACTGTACAGGAATTAAGATTCCCGTACAGTACGGAAATCACATGCTTTGTGATGACATAAACAAAACAATAATATGCCATTTTTCCGACTATCGACTAAAAAATCTATTTTTTTCATCGTACAGAGGTGCGCGGGGTAGCAAAATTTTCGGGAAGGCTTATATTTTAATAAACAAAAATAAAAAAATATTATTCCTATAGCAAAATTCGAGAAAATTGCCAAAAACTGGAAAAACAGTTTTAAGATATACACGGTTTTTGCAATGATAAATCAACGTGTTAGATTTTAATAAAGATTTTTTCGAAAACTGTCTTCTTGCTTCTCTTTAATAATAATAATACTTTATTATCCTGGCGGAGACCAGCTGTAAGCTGTTTTTCCCAACCAGCAGAATTACAATTTTCTCCAAAATACTGATTGAAAATAACAAAAATTAAAAAAAAAGGTATACTATTTCAATAACTTGAGTTGTACGAGACTACATGAAAAGAAAATAAATGAAATCTTAGAAGAAGACGACAGATTGACAAAAATGCTTCCATCACACCCCACAAGTAAAAATCTAATGGGGTGATGTCGGGCGAGCGGGCAGGCCACTCCACCGCACCTCCACGGCCGATCCATCTGTCCGGATAGGTTTGGTCCAAGTGTTCCCTCACCTGCCGCCCGTAGTGAGCAGGGCACCCATCGTGCTGGAACCAGTGGTCCCAGTACAAGTTCACTGGAACATCCATTAAAAGTTCTGGTAGCACCTCGCGCAGGAAAATCAGGTAATTATGGGCATTTAGACGCGGAGGGAGGATGTAAGGCCCCAGTAGGTTGTCCCCAGGATGCCAGCCCAAACGTTTAAAGAAAACTTGTCCTGGTATCCTCGCGTAAACGTTTCATGAGGATTGTGCTCCGCCCAGTAGTGGCTGTTACGAGGATTGAAGGTCCCCTCTCTTGAGAATCCTTTCTCGTCAGTAACTAGCACGCTCCTCAGAAACTTCGGATTAGCTTCTTCCTCCTGGACGACTAAGTTGCAGAATTCCAGCCT